TTGGTTAATAAATAATTATGCATAAAAAACGCATTTATAATTTGTGATTTATACAGATACATGAACAAACACTAGAACATACAAGTTTCTGTCCTGGGATCTTACTCAAGGTGTCAGGACAAACATTTTTTTAATAATTATGACCTTGTATTTGTACACATTATTTTTTAAACCACTCATCGGTATCAAGTACTTCAGTTTATACCATTTATATTTTGTGCCTATAGAGCCACTCGTTTGGGTTACTCCACTAAAAATTTAACCCAACTTTTTTTTTTTTAGGGGGGGGAGGGGGAAGGAGGATTTATATATATATTATATTAATATTTTTTATATATATATATATATATATATAATATATATATATATATATATATAATATATTTAAAAAATATATATTATAAAATATATATAAAATAAATATATATATTATATATATATAAAATTATATAATATATATAAAATAAAAAATATATTTATATAAAATATATATATATATATTTTATAATATATATATTATATATTTTATATATATTTTTATATATATACATATATTTCACTATATATATATATATATACATATATACACACACATATTATATAACATATATACACACACACATATATATATATATTTAAATAAACATATATATACACAATATATATATATAAAAAATAAAATATATATATATAATATTATAAAATTTTATATATTATATATATAAAATTTAAAAATATTAATTTTAATAATATATAATATATAATATATATAAAAAAAATATATATATAAAATATATATAATTAAAATTTTATATATACATATAAATTATAACAAAAAAAAATATATACATAAAAAATTATTACATACTAAAAATAATATACATAAAATTTTAAAAAATATCATACTATAAATTAAATACTACTAAAATAATATCAACAATAAATATATATACATAATATAAATTAAAATAATACAAAAAATATATTACAACTTAAATAATAATAAAAAAAAATATATACAAAAAAAATATTTTTAAACATACATAAAAAAATTATTTAATACTTTAAAATTAAAAAAAATATAAATATTATAAAATAAAATTTTATACATAAATATAAAAATTTAATAATATAAAAATAAATCCCCATTTTAAAAATAATTATTTAAATTAATAAAATATAAAAACCCATAAAAAATTTACATTATAAAAATATAAAATACATATTTTAAAAAAATTATAACATATTATAAATATAAAAAATATTATAAATATATATAAAATATTAATATTAATATTATAATTATTATATATATATAAAACAAAAATTATATATATTTAATATATTACACACATTTTTTATACATATATACTTTTATATTATATCATTTTTACACGATATATTTAAAATTTTAAACACGATATATATTTCATAAAAACATATATATATATATTATATAAAATATATTTTAAAATATTAAATTAATATTTAACATATATAACATCTTAAAAAATATATATATATATATTTAGATATATGTATGTTATGAAATTATATTATATATATATAATAATATATTTATTATATAATATAAAATAATATTATATATAAAAAATTTTATATTCGGACTTGAGTCCGGAAAGGGAAGTACAACCCGCACTTTAAAGGGGGGGTTTTTGGGATAGGGGCAGTTTGGAGGATATTTGTGTATCTTTATTGTGTTGCTTCTAGAGTTGTGTTCTGAGCACCTCTGCAAAACGTGTAATGTGCGGTGTGGTGAAAGTGTTGAATGATGATAAAGTATTTTTTTTTTGGGGGATTTTCTTTCTTTTTTGGGTCACCCGCTCGGTGGGAGACGGCCGATTGAAAAAAAAAAAAAAAATATATAAACTTTTAAAAATTTATAAAATTTATATATATATATATATATATATATATATACATTATTTATATTCATATTTTAAAATATATTATACATATTATTTTACTTATATATATAACATATATATAAAATATACAATATATTAACTTATATATATACTTTTTACATATATATATACTATATATATACAATACTTTAAAATTTTATACATAAAAAATATACATATATATTTATATACATATATATAAATATATAACTTATTTTACATATTTTTTAAAAATTTATACTAAATATACAATATATAATATAAATATAATAAAATATACATTTATATACTATATATATCATATAACAGTGGCCCCCCCGCTTAAAAACAAATCACCCCAAATGCGCCCAAAATTATGTAAGTAAATTTAGAATGCGTTTGTACGTGTTTTTTGGGGGTTGAAATGGACAATTACTTACAAAACCTTATGGGAAAAAAAATTTGGTCAGTATGGCACCTGAAAAACTACTGGAATGAAAAAAATTCGTTAAACCGGGGGGGCCAGTATTTTCATTTAAATTTATTATATAATATATATATCCTTTCCGAATGGGAGAACTTCGATCTTGGGT